GCGGCGTAGTCGGTAAATGACATAATTATCGCTGAATGAGCGCGCATATCGTGCCGGCTTCCGCCAGCGTGCGGAGCAAAATTACTTCGTAACACCCAGTTTTCCGCTCGGAAGTTCCTCCGCATCCGGCTGGCGTAGCGAGCGACGAACAAAATAATCCGAGCACGGAGCACAGCTCTGTTCACGGCGTATCGCTTCGTCGACAAGGGCATCTAGGAAACCATTAGAAAGGCCGGCGATGGGACGACGCTGATGCTTCGCGCGGAAAAGTCAACGAACCGTTCGAAGGCTCCTCGACATCTGGATGAAATTAACTCGACCGGTTCTTCCGCAGACAGACTGTCTGCCGCAGCTTCTCGCTTCCTTCGATATTTTTCTAAAACGAGGAGTCTCCCGGTTTTACTGACAGACCGACGAATCGGGGATTAAGCGACCCATTACATCTGGAAATCTACGGTGTTCCCCGATTACGAGCGAACGATTTCGAAAGTTTAAAGCCTAAATGGTTAGGCGAAGATGTTCCGGGGTGAAAGACGCGGAACACGACGGGCGAAGGGAGAAGGAATTGTATAAATCACTCGGTGGAAAAAATATCTTATTTGGTTCTCTGATCAAAGACAATCGACGTCGTGTGGCAGGGTGTGCTGGCAACGGCGGACAATAGTTGGCGCGACGAATAAAAAGCGCAAGGTACGCGCGGAGCCGGTGAAAAGCATTGAATTCATCGCTACGGATTTATAGGTAATTATTTTTCTCGAACGTGTCCGCGCGCTCGCCGTCCTATAGGGGCGAGGTGGAAGTGGAGGTGGAAGCGGTGGTGGAGACGAGGTTGCGAACGGGAGTTGCGGACGTGTTTCGTCAAGCGAATATCTCCGGCGAACGAGAGCCACCGCTGGGCGTGGAAACTAAAGCCTGATCATGTCGCGGATGTACATTTTCTACGGGATAGTATTCAGAGAACGACGTAGCCCGAGAGATGTGGGGTGTGGAGAACGAGCTGGTGCAGCCAAAAGGAGTGTGAGGGGGGGAGTGTATAACGCGACAATT